GTGCTATTTACATTTTAGTGGATTTTCTCATACTGAAATCAAATACTACTGTATCTTTAATTCCTGGGAACATTCCCCAATATCAAGGGGGTGGTAAATGTGGGGACTGGCATCAAATAAAATCCACAGTACAGGACACATTATATAGTTCCTGTGATTTATTCTCCTGTGAAGGACCAAAATCCCCCTCAAACCAGACCCACAGCCATCGTGTCTATTTTGATTCATAGCAACCGGTTTCCAAGATTGCATATCTTCACAAGAACGGAGAGCTTCATAATTCTCCGAGAGTAGCTGGTGAGTTTGAACCACTGACCTTGCAGTTAGCAGTCCAATGTCTAAACTACAGAGCCAGCAGGTCTCAAACCAGTAATTCCAGATGCATAACTTTATTGTAATGACCAGCTAGGCCAAATCAAATTAAGCCTTAGTATAAAATTCTGGTCTGGTCTTCATTCGGTGGCGATTCATCCTTAGTAGGCCACAAATAAGTGAGAAAATTGTTTAAATTAAAACTGAAATTAGCATGACTTTTGCCTTAATGTAACATGGGCAAGTCAAAAAATGTTGTGAAGTGTCATTGAGTTGGTTCCGACCCATAGCGACCCCATATAGGGTTACAGAAAAGCAGCTGGTGAGCTTGAACGTTTTACCTTGCAGTTCAAACGGCTTTGCTGTCCAGTGCATTAACCCAAAGCAACACACCAGGACTCCAAATCAAGTAAGTGCAAAACTTTCACATAACGACTTAATATCATACTTTATATTTTTGCTAAAATGGTAAAAAAAATATCCCTCATAGATAATTAACTTATTTTTCATCTATGAAGTGCAATAGAGTTTTAGTTGACTTTTTCACTTATACTTAGTCTTTTTGCACATTACTAAGTCCTGTCAAGTCCATTCTGACTAATAGCAACTCCTGGAGTGTTTCCAAGGAACAGCTGGTGAGTTTGAACCGCTGACCTTATGGTTAGCAGTGCAGTGCTTAATCCTGAAACACCACACCAAGACTCCTTCTGCACATTGTTGTTGTTGTTAAGTGCTATCCAGTCAGTTGGGTCATAGCAACCATGGATAAGGCTTCTAAGGAGCGGATGGTAAATTTAAACCACTGGCCTTGCGGTTCACACTGATCTTGCCTAGGAGTGCTTATCTTAACAGTGGTATTAAGAGAGATCAAAAGGCCAATTGTAGACATAATTGCATTTGAAACTCTAAATTCACTAAAGCTTTGAAAATTTTGTCCTGTAAAATAGATTAAATCAAGTAACTATCAAATATTTCATAACACAAGTCACTCCTTGGAAATTGTATACAGGGGTGGCTATAAATCAGAATTGATGCAACGGCACATAACAACATGTAAAGAAAAAAATCTTTTTTAAAAAAAAAAAAACAGACAATACCTCAAGCAATCCTGGTGACAAGTGTGTTAGAGAACATTTTGCAGTTTCATTGGGAGTACTTCACTGGCTTTTGGCTTCCCTATGTTCAGACAATCCTTAGAGCATGCTTCAACATGGCAGAGATTTGGCAGGGCCTTAAAATCTCCTTCTCAAAACACATAAATGAATGTTTTAAGTAACAACAATTAAGTTGACAGTCACTCTTCAATGAATCTCAGATAATAGATAATGTACAGGTCTCTAAAAAAAATAAAGGTAAGAAACTAGAAAAATATTTACACTTTTCTCAGTAGTCTTCAACTGGTAACTTCACTATTATCATTCTTTTGACCTACAAGGACATATGAAAAACTGAATCGTAAACTTATTTTTTGTACAATGTAAGAACCTGAGGTGGTTTTCTTCCATCTCAAGTCCCTATATAAGGTGCGAGCAGCATTTAAAACCCTTGTCTTTAGCTCAAGGATAAATTATCCAGTAAGCAAGGTAAAAACAGGTTTACTTGTGCATAGTCACTTATCTGTAGTGAAAAATTTCACATGGGTCTCAGTAAGCACTTACAATGGGGACTCCTGTGAAATTGTTCACTAGATGAGTAAGCACAATGAAGCCCCTACTTATCTTGCCTACTGGGTTTTCCAGCTGTTCCGCGGGAGATGAGGCTTTCTGCTCCCATAAAGATTTACAGCCTAGGAAATCCCTGTACAGGATCGCTATGAGTCGGAACCGACTCCATGACACATAACCACCACTAACACAAGGGATTGTACACTTGAGGAGGCTTTCATTCTGTAAGCAGGTGCCTCGTGGAGCTAAGGAAATGCCAGTCATACCTACAAGCAGAATCTTTGATGTGGTGAAAAAAATGTGAAATTGTTCACTCAGATTAGTAAGCAAGCATAAATAAACTTGTGCTTACCTTGTTACTAAGCCAACAGTGTTTTAACTCATGAGAGAGCACCAGCTGTTTTCAATCTGTTAAGATACTAACGTTTAATTTTCCATATTCTTAGAACCTTTGTATTGCATTATAAATTCAGCATGTAATCAGCTAGTTTCAAGTTCACTGAACAATTCATTTTTCTTCTTTATTTTCATCAGCACTTAATAGGTACTTTAACACCAAATCCTGTTTTAACTTCAGTTGGTTACCTCTATGTTCTACCTGCAAACTAGTAAGTTATGCTTCATCTAAGAACTCCTGGTATGTTGCTGTAGGGTAAACACATAAGGAATATGGTTCAAAACCCACCAGCTGCTCTTTGAAATCTTTATACAGGGTTGCTACACTAACTGACTCAGTGGAACTTAACAATGTGCTATAGGGTAAGCACTGGCCTGCTAACCTCAAGGTCAACAGTTCAAACCCACCAGCAGCTCTGCAAGAGAAAGATGAGGTTGTTTGTTCCTATAAAGGTTTACAATTTCAAAAACCATACTCGATGCAGTGAGTTGTTCTTTTTTAAAAATCTGAATCCATAAAAAAAAAAATGCTGAATTAGAAAACAAGGGTTAATCATACATGGCAGAGTTAAAACAGCAAAGTTCTAGGCCACAACATCAGATTCCAATTCAGTTAACTACGGAAATGGGTTTGTAATATTTGTTGTGAAGTACAGTGATTTCCAACTCATAATGACCCTGTATAGGGTTTCCGAGGAGTGATTGGTGAGCTTGAACAGCCAACCATGTGGTTCAAACCAACCTTGCAGTCCAGCACATTAACCCACAGTGACATATCAGTAATGTTTAAAGAGTTCCAATGGTGCTGTGGGTTAATGTGCCAGACAGCAAAGCCATTTAAACTGCAAGGTCAGCAGTTCAAGCTCACCAGCTGCTCCCAAGAAACCCTATACAGGGTCACTATGGGTTGGAGCTAACTCACCAACACTTTAACAGTTAACAGATGCATCTGGTGGCATTTGTCTACAAAACACTCTTTGTAAACTATGTGTTAAAAAAAAAAAAAAAAAAATTATATATACATTCAGCACCCATAATTTAGAAACTCCAATATGTGTGGTAGTTTTTGACAAATAAACCTAGTTAGTTGAAATTTCTGGGCCTAACCAATCTGAAAAACTATAGACTAAGAAACCCTGCCCTATTTTCCAGCATCTGGTATGGCTCTGTAGGATAAGCACTAAACTACAAGGTTGGTTTGAACCACAAGGTTGGTGGTTCAAACTTGCCAGCCACTCCTCGGAAACTCTGTACAGCATCACTGTGAGTTAAAAACCGACTTTGAGGCAACGATTTCTCTTAAACGACCAGGGGTAAATTTCATTGTTTTAGAAATACAACATTCAGTATCCCAAGGCTGAAATTTAGAGTACAAAAAATCTAAATTAATTTAACTTTGTGTTTCTTGGAGGAAGTTCAGAGGTAACTGAAGGTCCTTATAGGCACGTCTAGAATTTAGAAGGCTTTAAGTTCCTTGAAAGTTCATTTACAGCAAATAAAACAAACAGTAGACAACCTGTACTAAGACCTCTTAACCTAAGAGTCTCAGACAGGAAACAAAAAATTAAGCAATAATGACAGGTAAATCATTTCCTACACTTCCGGTGATTCTTGGCAGCAAAAGGTTATGCTTTTAGGAGGAAAAAAATCATCAGCCACAACGTGACTAATCAAGTGACTTATTACAAATAAGAAAGTCTACTATTTGTCAGGATGGGCTTGTAGTAGCTTGCTATGCTGTTTGCTCCCCTAAACAATCCAAAGCACACTGACTTGTTGCCACATTGAAATCCTTTTCCTGGAGTTAAATTTAATAATTTTCCATCTAATTCTGTTAAACAAACCTTAAACTGGTCTACTTTGACTTCAAATATTAGGAACTATAGGATGAACTTTCATACCACCAATACTTGAATCAAAAGTCACATTTTTTCCTAACATAAGGTATGGTGATGAATCTAAGAATCTAAAACCAATTACAATGGAAAAAAAAAAAACATAGCCAAGATCAGCTAAGTCAGGAAAATAGTTTTGTCTCAATTGCCAGAATCCAGCAGTGCAAACTGGATCCCTAACACAAGGATTGATACAGACAAAAGTCAGTAAATGTTCAAACACATAGTACATTTCTCCAGGTCTTGAAATAATCCTCATCCATTTATTCTTAATACTATAAAATCTAATTGTTAACCCTTTAAGAGATATCTCCTAAACCAATTTGTTGTTTTTTTAACCCTGGAAAACAAAGGTAAATTAACAAAGCTGCAAAAACATACATTAGTAACAGTGGGGGGGTGGGGAGTGGGAGACACATGTCATGGCAAAATAAGCTCTCCTGCAATTAATACAGGTGAGTAAAATGTTCACTATTATGTTAGTATTCTCTCTCAAAATCACCCATCTCCACTTTACTTTAAAGAAAAATGATTTTAGAGATTAAGGGAAACAACTTTAAAAGCTAGCCTTTA